TTTATAGGGCTTAGGGCTTAGGGTTAGGTCTTAGGGAGTCAGGGTGTAGGGTTTGCCTTTCCGTGTGCGGAGCGTCCGATTGAGCGGATGATAAGCCGGATGCCCCGTAGCAGTTAAGGCAAGTTCCGAAGCGGGAGCTCTTACAGAGCCCTTGCGGAGCCCGGGGTTGCCCCCCAAACCTTAAAAGCCCGAATGCCCTAAACCCTAAACCCTAAACCCTAACACCTAAACCCTAAACCCTTGAAAGCTCTCGGGCATCGAACCCCTATAGAAGCTTGAGAAGGATCCCTCCTAGAAGCCTACAGACCTGTCCAAGATCCCTATGTTGTGGGGTTATGGTTGAGGATTCAGGGCCATAGAACCCACACCCTTAAAGAATTTCACCCTAAACCCTAAACCCTAAACCCTAAACCCTAAACCCCTGAAGAAGTTCATGAGGGTCCCTTTTTTGAAGCGCGCCCAGTTCGCCGCTGAGGAGTGCCTTTTGGCCTTCGGCCGCCGGACTTCCAGCTCGGCGTGAAAAGGCAGTTGTTTCTCGGCTGGGAAGCCCTAAGCCCTAAACCCCAATACCCCTAAACCCTCAACCCATGCAACAGCAGGAACAGGGTTGAGGGTTTAAGGAGTTTTAGGGTTTAGGGAGTTTAGGGCGTCGGTTTAGGGCTTTAGGGCTTGTAGGGGTTGAGGGTTTAGTAATTTAGCGATCCTGCAGCTGATTATCAGAGCCTGGGTTCAACCGGTAGGGTTTGGGTTTTAGGCCTTAGGGCTATAGCTGTAGGCTTTGGAAGATCCGGACCTCAACAAAGGCTTGGCTGATACTAAGGAATTCAGAAAGTGCTTAGTATAGGTCTAGGACATTATCAGATGGGTAGTTACCGTTATAGGAGCCTTATAGAAGGTCTATATACCTTACTGAAGCCTTATAGAAGCCCTATATACCCGACACTCCCACCTGTAGTTTCCCCCAAATCGGGGCCTGCATAAGTACCTATACTATTTTGGGGGTTCCTTCTTATAGTTATGGCCCAAAACCTTATTCTAATTATTAAGGGCCCTATATTCGAGACCCGGGTCGAGAGATCTGAGAGATTGCATGGAGCCAACGCAAAAAAGCAGCTCGTCTAAACCTGAACCCGACATGCTGGGTCCCGCGAAAGTGACCCGTGTAAAAAGGACCCCAAACGGGACCCCAATTTAGAGAACTACCCATGTGCGCTCTTGAGAGTCGGGGGAGCTCCAGCCTCTGCGTGGCCTCAGGTATCAAAGCCTGGCAACGCTTTACGATAGCACTGAACCCAAGGCTCATGATTGTCCTAGGTACGATTAGGGAGACCCCTTTAACTTCTGGCTCCCTAACAAAAGGACCCATAGCCCGAAGGGCCCCCCCTAATCCTAAGTCTAAGTCCTATATTGAGGCTCCGATGTTGGGCCCCAAGAACCTGGCATGTCGGAGATTGAGCGCCGAAACCCTTCAACTCCCGTGGTGCCCTTAAAGTACGACTCATGTATAGTACCCACCGTATCTTATAGGATACATATATATATATATAT